AAACCAGGGATCCCTGTGGAATTCTGTGCATCCCTCTTTTGCAAACAGCCCACAAGGTTGGCAGCAGCAGCCAGGGGCTGAAGGATGCCAGCCCTGAGAACAAGCCACCTCTCTCCTGCCTACCAGGGGAGGACTGTGGTTTCCAGCTTTGCTATCCCCAACACCTTAACCCAGCGTTAGACCCGGGCTTTACAGCTATTTTTAGAACATCAACAAAGCTCGGGACGCCACAGGAGGCCAGATGTCAGTCAGCTCTGCCTCAAACCCAGGCTGGTCTGGCTGCAGAAAGCCAGGGAAAAACCAGCAGCCACCACACTCAAGATTTCAGGAATGTGCTAAAGGCAAATGCACTCTCCTTCCACCCCCGAGAGTATTTTTTCCTTCAGCTATTTCAGTTGACTGAGGCTAAAATAAGAACAGGGAATGTAACTCCAAGGTTAAAAGTGCTTGGCTGTGGTTTGTAGACAACACTCTGATTCTGCTGGCTCAGGTTTCAAGGGGTTTGAATGTATTAAACATGGACTATTCTGCTACATGGGACCATTTACCATTTGACTGAATTACCTCCGAGATTAAAAAAACTGCTGACAGATCACCTATAAGGAAGCACGTAGTGAGTAAATACAAAAAATTTGTTAGGGAGAACACCAAAATAAATAGTCTCACTGTCTTGTTGGTGCATTCACCACAGGCTGCACAGAACAGCAGCTTGACTAAACACTTTCAATGCAGAGTTTCCAGACTAAAACCTGTTGCTGAGCCATGTGAGCAGCCCAGAAGTAATTTATTTTCCCTTTTAACGGAGATTTCTCGATGCAGTTTTCTTTCTTTCCAGCTGAACAGCACACAGACATTGCACCTCTCTGCAACTCACACACACAGAGCGCTGCCCCTTTCCCAACATTACCTAAAGGACAGAGGGAAGCCCAGAGGGATTGCATCCTGCCCTCGGCCAAAATCTGGAGGTTTTCAACCAGGCTGCTGCCCACGTCCCCGCTGGGATGCTTTCCTGAAGCGCCAGGATGTGCTTTTAAATCCTCAGAAGCTCACGTTGTAGAAGCACAGAGACAAAGGACTGAGACCATTAAGCAGGTTCATTACTGGGTTTGATGATTAAAAGCAGCCAGCTCGCAGGCAGCACCCACAGCAGCACAACAGCAGACAGGGACAAGGATTCTCTGGTATTCACCCACCCACAGCGGGAATTAGCCTGGCAAACCCTAGCCACAGATATATTTTAGAAGAGAAAAAGGCATTTAGCTATTTGACCAAGCTAAAACATGCTCTGTTTCCCCTATAAGGGGTTTTCAATGCTATTCTCCCTCCAAGCCAGTGGTGGTTTTGGTCCTCTCCTGGTGCAGGGTCTGTGCCGGGAAGGGCTGTCACCACAACCATCGCTGCAGGGCCCAAACCTCCCCCAAACACCCACTAGCACTGACAGAGCCAGACTTCACAGATGGCCAGAGAAGCAGAATCAACCTGCCAGTGCAGAGCAATAACTCCAGAACCCCACCTGCAGCTTTCCAAGACCTCCCTTAACTCTGCAGTGATCTGATATTGATTCCCAGCCCCGTGAAAACATAAAGGATGCCAACCCCATTTTTAGCCATTATGAGGTCTCTAATTTCATTCCAACCAGGTCACAGCATTTATATTTTCATTATCCACAACCTCCCAGGTCATCACAAATAGGAGATCACGGCGCCGGTGCTTGATGGCTCTTTAATTCAAGAGCATTTCAGAGTTAATAAATGCAATTCAATTTCTCAAATCCAAGTGGCTTCCTGACCAGATAACACAGCCTCCATCCACCCTACCAAATCCATAGGCCATTGGTTTCTGCAGGAATAGAACTGGCATGTATGGGAGCATGAAATTACAGGGTGGAGGCAATTTGTTCTTCCCTACCCACATACTTTCAATGTTTAGGAAGTTTCAAGTCCTCTCCATCTCCAGAAACGCTCTGAAAAGGAGGAGGACATTTTAGTTTATTGTTGGGGATTTCTAACATGGCAAGCTCTAAACACTGAGGAGGACTTCTCCAGAGATGCAATAGCCTTCAATTAGATTTTAAAGGAAGTCTTAGCACTTTTATAAAAGAAGCACTCAAATCACTGGCAGGCATTACTGAGTATGCTTTGTGCTGAGAGAAAACATAAATATACCCCCAAAATTTAGCAGTAACGGTGCAGCTGCCTGACTCGCAAAGCTGCTCCTGCAGAGGTTTCCTTTTCTCATTATTTTACTGCTCATCATTTCTTATTCTTATTATTATTTTTGAGTCCAGCAAATTCAAGTGATGAGATGTCCACAGCCTGCAAAGCTCCAAGCTTTGGTATCAAGGTGTAAGGGACAACAGTTTAAGGATGGTTACAGGGCAAGAGGAATACAGAATCATAGAATGGTTTGGGTTGGAAGTGACCTCAAAGACCATCTCATTCCAACCCTCTGCCATGGGCTTCCACTAGCCCGGGTTGCTCAGAGCTCCACCCAACCTGGCCTTGAACACTTCCAGGGATGGGGCAGCCACAGCTTCTCTGGGCAAACCTGTGCCAGGGCCTCACCACCCTCACAAAGAAGAATTTCTTCCTAATATGCAATCCAACCTTACCCTTTGTCAGTGTGAAGCCATTCCCCCTTCTCCCATACGTGCTCTCATAAAAAGTTCCTCTGTATCCTTCTCATATGCTCACAGGCACTCAAGCATGTGCAGAAAAGCCAAAGCATCTCCTCTCATTGCCATATCTTTTCCCAGAGGCATCATGGACCACAGATCAAAGTCATGTTGTTCATACACACAGTTAAGACAATTAAAGACACTCTGAAGAACTTCAAAGGTTTCTACCTTTTCTCCTGACTCCAAGGGTGCCAGCAGCTGAAGAGAGGATACAAATGGACTTAGAATTTCCTGTTTTCTAGGAGAGGCCATAAACAGTGTCAAAACCTTTTGTTTTTAAGAAAGCGTCATTTTCTGCAGAATATGCAAACACAGTGCTGTACAGCATAGGCAGAGGATGGAGGGAATCAATGATATATTAATGTTTTACCAGCCTTATTTGCAATGCAGCTTTCTAAATCCAAAAGAAATCCGAGTAGCACAGCCCAGCACTGCCTTTAAACACTGAAATACAGTGCAGAGATGATGTGGTGCCAATCATTACTGCCCCAGTAACAACGAGCAAGACCATGGCTCATCCCCTCCTGAGAAGCCTCTGTAGGGAGCTGTAGCCAAAAAACCGAAAAAGCCTAATCTTACCTTAATGGAAGTGGTTACCTTGGGATACAGCTGGATCTCAGGCCTGCTGAATGAGACCAAGGTTATTTTTAGGATGGTCGATTCCCTGACCATCGCTGCTTTTGAAAGACCCTACAGCAAGGTGGGAAGTTACCTAAAGCTTCAAGAGAAAGGCTTTTCTGGCACAGGAGGAATGCTTGGCCAATCCTGCCAGGATTTGGACTGTGGCTTTGGTACAGCCAGGGGTTTATGGTGACAGGGAGAGGGCCTGTGTCATCCCATCCTCTCATGGCCCGCACCACATGCAAAATTCAGTACTGCTCGCCCAGCTTTAGGCCAGGGACTTGTTCCCCACCTCCAAGGAGCCCTGTAGAGGCTGTGGTCACAGAGCACAGAGGATGTTCCCACACCCAGTGTTCATAAAACTCTCTACAGTTTACAAGGGAAGGTGTGTTAGTGACAGAAGCCTCCAAGAGCGTGTCCTAAGGCAGCAGCCGGGCCCACAAGCTGGCAGTGAAAACACCAACACAGAGCCATAAAACTCACCTCACCCTCCCTCCCTGCTGCTGGCCCAAAGAGGCCCTGAAACGGAGCGTGGCAAGATTTACAGGCACAGAGACGATGCTCTCCACACAAGTGTCAGACCTGGTGTCAAGCAGAGGCACTCCAAGTCTGCCAGCAGGATCATTAGCAGAATCCCGGCAAATATAGTAGCAGAGCTTTTTCCACACCTTTTGTATCCTCCCCTTTTCAAAATATTCTTTTCATTTTAAAACACCTGCTTCCTCAGAAGCATCAGTGACCTCAAAATCCATGACTCTACCACGATGTCTGGGCACTCAGTTGTCACTTGCAATTTTTGTGCAGCCCTGTCTGTGTGCAGGGCTGTGAAGCAGAAAGGCACAAAAAGGTTGTTTTTTTGTTAAACAGCACAGAGTGTGCTCAAAAATAAAAATAAATAATCCCACAGGAAGGATGTAGATAAAGACAAACACATCCACAGCATCATGATTAGCTGCCATCAGGCAGAGGCAGCGTCCTGCTGCTTCCAAGCCCACTGTAGGTGGAAAGGAGCAGCCTGGAGTACCAGCAACTCCTGCTTGCTTCGCTTTCAGCAGTTACAGTGCCCAAACCAAGAGAAGGAAGGGTCAGGAAAATGAGACTGACTGGGAAAAGAAAGCAGAGACAAATCCTAACCAGCAGGAGTTAGTGCTCGCTGGCGGCAAAACCAGGCACAGGTTTCTGCACTGACCACTCACTCCTCAGCCAGGGACACGCAGCCTTTCCCTGCAACCCGGCACGGAGAACGTGCCTCGTCCAAGGGCACAGCTTTCTCCCGCCCCTGCAGAGCTGAGGAGAGGTAAATAGTTAATCAGGGGGTACAGGTAAGCCCATTACCTGCAGCATAGCTCAGTGCATTATTCACCAGGGTTTGGAGGGGAAAACCAGCACAGGAGAAAGAAGGGAAAGAAGGAGAAATCTGTGCATCCTCAAGGAGCACTTTGATTTCATGGAAGATCAGCGTTAGGACGAGGATGCATGGTTTAAGTACCTTAAATAAACACACTTCTAGAGAGCACATGTACGTGATCTCGGAGCTTTCTGCTGCGGGTACACAGGTGACAAGCACGGCACAAATCTCTACCTGTTGCAGCTGAAATGTCAGGAGCACCCAAGAACCAGGGCACGCTGCACCCAAGAAAACAACTGGGCAACAAGAACTTTCAACCCGATCGCCGGTAAAACCCGAAACATCTGACCTCACCTGAGAGAAGCCTGTTTGAACGAGCACTTCTGGCTGCCTGCTCTCCCTGCGGCTCAGGAACGGGAAGAGAGACTCCTAAAGCAGTAATTAAAAATGTGCAGCAAAAGGCAAGGACGGCTGCCAGCGGAGCACGGCTCAGTACATCTCATCTACCAAGCGGGGAATCCCACACAAAGCAGGCTGTGTCCAACAGCATCATCACCTCAGACTCCCAGGCCAAGCGCGATGTGTCCCGGCGTTCTGGGATAATTTCTCCTTTGGATTCCCACCCGCCGTCTGTGTCGCCAGCGACGCCAGGCTGGTGCCTCCCCGGGTTTCAGGGAAGAAGGGTGTGAGCGGTGAAGCCCGGGAGGAGGCGGCAGGGGCTGCACGCCCGTTCCCAACGCAGAGGGGCTTCCAGGGAGCCTCTCCCGCCGCCCCACCGGCCCCGGGGGAGTTGTGTCCCGGCGCCCGCACTTACCCAGGACGAAGCAGAGGAAGCGCCGCGGGAGCAGGGCCATGGCCCCGCGGCAGGAGCGGCTCCGCTCCGGGGCCGGGCGGGCTCCGCGCCCGCGGCGCTGAGCGCAGGGGCGGACCCGGGGCGGCCGCGGGCCCCGCCCGCTCCACGGGGCTCGCTCGTCCGCAACACCCCCTTCTCCCCAGAGACCGGGGGGAACCTCTCCCGAGGCGCCTGCAGGATGTAGCCGAGGCTCTCGTTACCTCCGACTCCGCAGCCGTAGCCCGGAGCCGCGGGAAAGGGAGCGAACAGTTCAGAAGGAAAGCGTCGAGGAGTCCTTCTTCCCCACGCGGTTTCCTTAGCCCTGCTTCGATCTCCACCGAAGGAATTTCTCCCTAGCCTGAGGGTGAAAATCTAGCCTTCCCCCTTTTATGTGTTGGATATGAACACAGAGGATGCAGTGCAACCTTAGGGAGAAGGTAAATGTTTTGGGTTTTTTTTAACCGAGTGGAACATCACTACTGAGCTCTCGTTACCTCCGACTCCGCAGCCGTAGCCCGGAGCCGCGGGAAAGGGAGCGAACAGTTCAGAAGGAAAGCGTCGAGGAGTCCTTCTTCCCCACGCGGTTTCCTTAGCCCTGCTTCGATCTCCACCGAAGGAATTTCTCCCTAGCCTGAGGGTGAAAATCTAGCCTTCCCCCTTTTATGTGTTGGATATGAACACAGAGGATGCAGTGCAACCTTAGGGAGAAGGTAAATGTTTTGGGTTTTTTTTAACCGAGTGGAACATCACTACTGAGCTCCTACAGCTCCACCTGCAGCTCATTACCGAATCATGTCTGAACAGCAGTGCCTGCCTGGGCTCCTCAGGATAAGCCATTAGGAGCAGGTGAGGGCTCCAGCTGCAGCGAGGTCACTGGCCGGCAGATCGCTTCTCTCACATTTTAAGTCAGCTCTCCCTTTCAAAGGGAGAACAATAAACAAGGAAACCTGGTGGAATGCCGCAGTGCACTCATTTGAGTGTTTCACACTGCAGACACTTCTGCTTTCCCAACAGAAACAAAACAGCCTGCACGCCAGAGCCAGTTCTTCCTAAACTATTAACACCTGCCTAATTACAGAGTCAAGTTCAGGGAACAGAAACAGCAAACAGCTGCTATTAATAATGTGGCACAGTAAAGCCTAGGCCTCCTTTCATCTTTACAGGACCAGGACAAAAACCAAAACCTCACCTGCAGCAGCAGGACCAAGGAAGGGTACAGTACAAAGCTGGGCTTTGACAGCGTTACCGACAGCAGTTCTGCTACGAGGAGAGGGAGTGGATGAGATCTGAAAACAACACTGGCACAACTTTTTGAAGAACAGATTTTAACCTTTATTGACCACAGATCAGTTCTCTCACATTTTAAGTCAGCTCTGCCTTTCAAAGGGAGAACAGTGAACAATGAAACCTGAAGGAACGCCACAGTGCATTTGAGTGTTTCACTTTTATAGACACTGCTGCTTTCCCAACAGAAACAAAATGGCCTGCATGCCAGAGAGACAGTTCTTCCTGCACCATTAACACCTGCCTAATGAGAGTCAAGTTCAGGGGGGGACAGAAACAGCAACAGCTGCTACTAATAATCTGAAAACAGCACAACACTGGCACAACTTTTTGAAGAACAAATTTTAACCTTTATTAGTAACCAGGGCTGCTCTTTCCAGTAGCAATTACAGCAGGATCTAGAACAAAGTACAACAGGGAGTGAGTTAGGATAGATGAGCTTTGAGCCCAATCACCTTTTCTTAAATGCATTACTTACTTTTTTTCTTACTATGGAAAGATGGGAATTATTTTTCTCTCTTATTTACTAATGACTTGGCTATTTCACACCTCCCTCATGATCAAAATAAAAATTATGTCATTACCTCTTTTGCAAAGCAACACAAAAAAATACAGTAATAGGAACAATTATGACTGCAAAGCCCACACACCATTTAAAAAATAAATAATCACTTGACAAGGAAAGCAGAACACGTTTTGAGGCTGTTAAAACTTACTACTGACTGACAACGCTCTCAAGTGTAAAATTTTATATTTTAGGCATGAGTTCGTGTCAGTCCGGTGGAATTCAGTCAGTAGACTAACACTTTTTGCAGGAAATCTGGTAGTGGCACTGCTAGCAGGTTCCTAAAGGCATCCAAGGTACTCAAAGCAAACAGGGTACCAAGCTTAGTAGGAGACTAAAACAAGGACGTCTCCTACAGGAGAACAGATACACACATCCCGGGAATTCCGGGCTGTGGTTACAGCATGTTCAGCTCGCTGCAGCTTCCTGCAGTGCTGTATCATCGTGCAAAGTGCTTAACATGAGAAAACTACAAGACATATAATCTGGTTCTCTCAGATTTCTACTCCAGAGCTGAACTTCAGCCACCAGAGAGAAGTCACCATTTTTTCTGAACCAAAACTGATCCCGTGCTGGGATTTCTTTATGAAAGGCTACGCAAGGGCCGGCCATTAGATGTCACCTTTGTGCAGAGTATGTGTGACAACACCCTCCACAAAGTTAATCGGTAAAGCAGTTTAGTAGTTAACCCCCAGTACACCAAGTTCTACAGGTGTGCTGTGAGACAGCTCCCAATGCTTAGAAACCAGTGTTTCAGTGGATTCACTTCGGTACTTCTTGTAGAGCTGATAATCTAGTCAGGCTGTAGAGCTATGCAAATTCAAGTGGTTTTATTTTGATGTATTTCTGCAGGCTGGAATACTCACTGTTTTTCACTGCTTTTCCTGCCCACAATTGGGCATTGATTTCCTCAGAATGGCAGAGGTCCTTTCCTCAATAGTACTGATGGCCAAGCCACATAGCATACCTTTGTTGTTTTTCCTCACCTGCTGAATAGCCTCCACAATTTGGTCTCTATGGAAATGAAAGAAATAACTGTTTACACATCACATTTTGTGCAATACATTTAGCACTTAGTTACCATGGATATTGGCTCCATTACAAGCCAGAGCAGAAAGGAAACCCCAGAACTCTCACCTGCTAGCCTCTGGATGGGTTGCTTGAAGTCTCTTAATCAGCTTGGTAAAGCTACTCAAGTTCAGTGCATAAGGAGAATTAAAGATATCACCTGGTTCAATGCTGTAAGAATAAGATGTTTTCTGCAGGGAATTTTCTCCAGTATCCTAGAATTGCATCAAAATAAGGAAAAAGTGAATGGGTTAAGTATTGTACAGGTCATACAACAAATCTTTCCTACAAATAAACATAAAGTCATAGAACCACAGAAGGATTCAGGTTGGAAGGGACATTATAGAGTCCATCCAGTTCCACTCCCCTGCCATGGGCAGGGAACACCTTCCACTAGACCAGGTTGCTCAGAGCCCCATCCAACGTGGCCTTGGACACTTCCAAGGATGGGGCAGCCACAGCTTCTCTGGGCAACCTGTGCCAGGGCCTCACCACCCTCACAGGGAAGGATTTCTTTCTAATATCTAACCTAAACCTGCTCTCTTTCAGTTTGATACCAGTTTGAATAAGAAAAAACCCAAATGATACAGACTCAGATCAGTTATTCCAATACAACCACTCGTGTTATCCAATCTGTAAATTAGAAATAAAACCACTACATGCATTTATGAGTAACTTACATTCCTGCTACTTTAAATTAGATCCAATTACCATTTCCCAAAGGACTAGCATGTTTAAAGAGAAATCCCCAAAGACAGCAAATCTATGCAGTTTATGAGAGCAATACCAGCAAGTACTAATTTGGCGTTTACCGTCCAAGGGCCAAGCTGAGCCAAGACAAAATCCTGTATTTGTACAGATATTTCTTAGATTTCTACTAAAAAATCCTACAATTTCTTTCCAATCCAGTACCCCAAAATCTTTCCTGTATAAAATCTCAGGACATTCACATTAAAAAAAGGTATTACTCAAAAGGGGAGAAAAACAAGATGAAAAATCTAGTGCAAATGGGTAAGTTCCCAACTGTCTTAAGAAAAGTCACAATTTGATGCAGCAATAGAGCTCTCACTCTTCTGTCACATGCCAGAAATTTACTACCAATATGTAACACATTTTCCTATCCTAACATCATTCTCTACATATTAAATGTAACATTTGATGAGACAAGAAGTTTTAAGGCTCTTAGACTGCCACAGAGAGGAGCTTTGGTAATAATTATTTACCTTTTGATTATCTCCAAGCAAAGAATGTACCAACTCTTCAGTAGGTGATTTCATATCAGGGAACTTGACAGCAAATGTATGGATGAACTCATTAAAGAGGCAAGACATTACTACTACAACATAACTAAGAACAGACATACCTCCAGCACTGAAGAACCTGGGCCACCAACATGAACAGCAGAATGTTCATTCCCACTCTGCACTGTCTTAGCTTCTAATAATAAATGTAAGAAAGCAAACAGTTACAATTATTCTTGTTTCAGTTCTAGCTGACATATTCTCTGTAAATTTTGGAATGCCTAGAGAGAAAACCTTTGAAAAAAACCTAAGAGAATGAAGAGGATCTTCTAACAGAAAATGAGTCTCCTGAGCAGCACAACAGTTCAGTTTGTGAAATATCTTTTCCCTGAGTGTTTCCTGAGGTTTGAAAAGGCAAAAGAGGCAGAGAAAACACTGCTCTGAACTAAAGGTACCACTGCTGAAGGCTGGGCAGGGGAGCCCCCAAGCTCTCAACACACAGGGACTTCTCACCATGCCAGTCACTGTGACCCAAGTGTCCAAACACAAACCATTCTCAGCTAACTCTTAGTAATCCAGCATGGGAAGGAAGGGAAGGAGGAGAAAAAAAATAAAGATTTCTACCTATGTGATTGGTTGGACATTTACTAATTTGAGTTTAACCACTGTAGGTAAAGTTTTCAAGGAAAAATACGGATGAAAACAGCTGAGTTATCTACAAGGATTCACCGTAAGTTAATGAAATAATAAGTCTAAAAACCCAGCTGGCATTTTTTCCAGGTTTACTTATGCTTGTAGAAGGAACAGACTACTCAAATAATAAAAAACCACCATTATTAGGAATGTCAGCTTAAAGCACACGACTCTTAAATCACCTGTGCCTTGCTTTTCTTGTTGCTTTTTCGTTTCTTCAGGTATTACTGGAAAATCTGACATTGTCAGCTCTTCTTTAGCATCAAACCAATATTCAGTCCCTTCCTCAGTTTTCATACGGCCTTGACAATTGAAATAAAATTCAGGGTGTTAAAATTCAAACCATGTTATGTCATATGAACATCAAATTTCTATACTTAAGAGGATTCCAGCTACCTACATGACTTAGTACTACATTTAAGAGGTGACACAGACTAGTTTTCACTTCTAATTTAAGTAGCAATTTTTTTTTCAAGATGTAAATAATAATATAGAGCTCTACACTATTACCACTCATATAAATTATTATTAAAAATAAATTATGACAGCTGATATATAAGCATTCCATCACAGAAAGAACAGCTGAGCATCCATGTATATGTTTTACACAGGGTTTGTTTTTTTCCCCAACAACTTAACTCACAAATAACGTGGTATTTTCACTAGATGCAGACTGCTTACCATGTTTCAGATCCCGGCCTTTATGCTGTCCTTCCCGTGCCTCGGGGGAAGCAGAGTCCCTTGGCTGACCACCTTCAGTCTGTGACTTGTCCTACAAACATGTTTCAGTTTACATCACAGCACTTGCACCTGATTATACATTATTTTTCTAAGCTTCAGAATGTAAGTTGATTAAACAGGTAAATTTTATGAAGTTATCCTACGGATTGTCTTCAAGAATCCCCAACTTATTTTGAATGGGCAGTCAAAAGTGTGGACACAGCAGCTGCATTTGTGATTAGTGGCAGAGGATCTCAGGCTGAGCCCTGAAAACTGTGATTGTATTTGCAGGTAAAAGGAGACCCTGCTCCACAACATTAACACCTATGAAACTCAGCAGTGAAGAAGTCCCTACCCTACTGACAGAAGTCTGCTCTTGCATTTCTGGTGCTTCAACATCAGCCTTTTCTTCACCTGAAAGACCACTAAAACAGATCCAAGAATTTCATACAAAATATGCCACAACAATTTTAAATTCTACAATTACTTCTACAAGTACTCTGACACATTAATTTAAATATTTCCAAAAGCTCACAGTAAAATAAACTTACTTAGTAAATCTTAGCTTTTTTTGATTATATCTAAACGGCTTTCTGGGGGATGTTTTGATGTATGTCCTTATAATTCAAAATATCTCTACAATTTTTACTAATTAATTATAAAACAACTAAAACTAACTGCCCTTTTTTTTCTTCAATTGATTTTACTTATGCTTAAAAAGAAATTTCAAAAAGGTCTCCAGCTGTTTACCTAATTCAGTAAAACTTATTGCCAAATTTGGTTTTTTATCTCCACTTAAAGTCACTGGGCATGGTTCCTGACTATGCAATACCATGTATCTGAAATATGAAGTTATTTTTCTATCATTCTTCATAACTGAATGACAATCTTAGCAGAACAGATGTTTATATACTCAATATTTATCTCTGTTGGCAGCAAAGTCCTTTTGGGTTTTTATGGCTGCTTGGTTTTTAAGATAGATCCCATCATGACTGGAGACAAAGATTTTTAGTAGTGGAAGTAGGGAACCAGGAAAATGACCTGTAAATTGAAAACTTTTGAAGTTTTTTAAGATAGTGAAGATATAACTCCCTTGTTTGCATAGCAGAACACTGCAGACTAAAAATGCCCTTAAAATAAAATCATTGTACCCAAAGGGCAATGCTGGCCTTTCAGCTAAACAGTCTGAAACAACAAGATACATTCTGAAATCAAGAAATTTTAAGTTTAACATCTTATAAACTCATTCCTCATTTATTTTTAGGAAGTACAACAAGAAATGAAACTACTTACTCAGAGCCAAGAGACTTTCTGA